GCAGCCTCCACCTGCTGGGCTCCGGTGATCCTTCTGCCTCAGCCTTCCGAGTAGCAGGAATTACAGGCACGCACTACCATGCCCAACTGATTTTTTTATTTTATGGTAGAGATGAGGTCTCGCCAAGTTGCCCAGGTGGGTCTCCGCGGGCTCAGGCAATCCACTCACCTCAGCCTCCCAAAGCGCGGGATTACAGGCTGAGCCACCAAGCCTGGCTGTAATCTGCATTTTTAATTGTTACATCATAATAGTACATATTTATGGGACCTGTGTGATATTTTGATCCATGTTTGCACTGTGTAATGATCAAGCTATCTAACCTGTTTTTTATCCTAATGCTGTATCATAATCACTTCCAGTGTTATTTTCATAGCCTCCTGCAGCATTATTTTTATTTATGACATCAAATGATAGCACATAATTGGATTTTGCCTTTCTTTCTACTTACATTTTATGAGACTGTTTTCTTCAAAGCACTTAGTACATCTTTGCCATCTGTGTCTTTCTCATCACTGACTCCACCTCTGCGTGGCTTAATAGATTTGCAGAACACATTTTCTCTGCTAATGTGTGCTGGAAACTCAATCTGAAACACCAATTACCCATTGACATTACTCGGGAGAGTGCTTTTTAAACTGTAAACTGGTACCTACAGGCAAACACTCACTATGATGCTTCTTAAAGTCTTCTCTGACAGGTTCATTTATAGTGATGTCTGGTACTTCCGCTGTTTTCTCCATTAGAAATGATTTCTTTTTTGATTAGAAAAAAACCTTCACTTGGTTCAAACTTCAAAAGATACAAGAGGGTGAAATGTAAGCATTTTCCTTGCCCCAGCTTCCCAAATACTTGTTTTCAAATGCAACTGAGTTATGAATTTCTTAGTCACCCTTTAGGAATATTCTATGCAAATACAAAACCATAATACCTATATACATACACTTGGTGCATTTATATGTTGGTACATTTGTAAGTATGGCTTGGTGTATACATCTATACATATATACACATGTGCATTATATAATTGTATGTAGAACGCTAATGTTTTTGTAAAATAGAGGAGATAGCTGCCCTGCCCTGCTATATCAACATATTATAAATATATGTGCATGTGTATCTAACCGTATAGAGTATGCTAACATTTTCCCTATCATCTCCCTATTTTATAAAAATAACCTATGTGTTTAGTCCCTTGGTATTTATTTATTTTTTTAATTGACTTGCTGACTTAAAAGTCTATTATTGTAATCATCTTTTCTCCCTTTTTTTTATTATGGAACTGTTCTTATTTATTTATTTAAAAGATGTGGAGTACAATTCAGGATTAGGTATACAAGTGGTCATTGTACAGATAAAGTTGGAGCCACCCTTTGGTCCCTACTTTGCCTGGTTTGAGATCAGGTACCCTTATTGATGTTACCCCCCAACCATGGTAAATGTTCGGGGTCTGCTTATGAGTGAGAACCCAAAAGTGTTGAGAATAGCAGGATGAATCCCCAGGGACCCCTCACCAGCTTTAACTGCTCCACTCCTGCCAATTCCACTACATCTTTCTTTCCACCCTCTCCCCCAAACCACATCCCCTACCCAATTACTTTGAAATAAATTCTAGTCATTGCATTATTTCACCTGCACATTTTTTAAGTATGTATCGCAGAAAGATCAGGACACTCTAAAAGGGGGGGGAAGGGGACACAGTATCACTAAGGGTACCTGATCCTAAGCCAGGTGAAGTCAGGACCAAGGGGAGGTCCAGAGTTCACCTGCCCGTAGATCATTTATAAAATAAAATAAAGAGGAAAAAAAACCAAAACAAAAACCCCCATCAATTTGTACACAGTAAACTTTACAGGTTTTTTATTATAAAGATGTGGGGTACAATTCAGGGTTAGGTAGACAAACATTGATTACGCAGGTATCCTTGTTGATGAGGTGTGCCCCTCCCTTCCCTAGCAGTTTCCCCCAACTGCCAATCCCACCCCCTTCCCCTGACAGTTCCCCATTACCGCCAAATGCTTTCTTATAGTATTATAACTGTTCAAGTTCCACTTATGAGTGAGAACATATGGTACTCTGTTCTTTGTTTCTCTGATAGATCACTGAGTATGATCGACTCCAAATCCATCCAAGTTGCTGCGAAGTTCATATGTGTGTCCTTCTTTATGGCTGCATAATATTCCATTTTGTATATATGTTACAGTTTTTATTTGTCAATTGTACATTAAAAAGCCATTAAAAATAGCTGAAATGAAAAGAAAAGGAAAAAGAGAGCTTCTTTATCATCCCTACAGCTCCCTGGGAAGGAGCGCCTAAGTTGACCGGTGAGGAGACTGAGAGGGAATTAACACCTCAGTGAAAAACGGACAGTCATTCATTAAAGTCATGGAAGATCCACCCTTATAACCTTTTAAAATGTGTTTGATTTGAGTTCAAAAAGATGCTGCATTGGTTAATATGTTTCTATGTCTTTTAAATTTTAGTTTTCTTTTCTATCTGTTTTGTTTTTTTTAAATTTCAGCAGCTTGCATTTTTTTCTTTTTTCCTTTTTTTTTGGACAAAGGAAAAAAGTCAAACTTAAAGAAAAAGAATAGAATGGTATTTTGCAGAGACTGGGCAGGGCAGGATCAGAAACGGGAGGGTATTGACCAAAGGATACAGAGTTTCAGTTAGAAAAGAGGGGTAAGATTTAGAGAAAGATTGCAAGGCAATATATTGCATGACTCGAAATTGCTAAAAGAGTTGATTTTAAATGTCCTTATCACAAAAAAAACCTCAGAACTATGTGAGGTGACATGTGCTAATTGTCTTAGTTAAATCATATCACAATGTAAACAGGTATCAAAACCTCCCGTTGTACCTAATTAGTAAATACAACTATCTGTTGATTAGAATTTCACAAGCAAATGAATACATGATAGCCATGTCAAAAAAGAAATAGAAACTGGGTTGTTTGTCCTGCCGCATTTTTCAGTCTAATTCTTGCAGGTGACAATACCACAGGATCTGGAATTCCAGCGGGCTATTCCACAGGATGCATCTATCCTTCACCACCGGTTGGGGGTGAGCTTGTGTCCTATGGCCAAATACGCTATGATCGTCCTTGCACGATCCTTTCCTTGAGATTGCTACCCAGAAGCCGGATTTGACGGTCAAAAGACAGACAGAAATTGATGGACTTTGACGTGCATGGACCATCAGACTTTTGAACCTGTGACCCTCGGGAGTTGTTTTCCATGAGGCTTATTCTTCATTTCAGGAACTCTGACCACGTCCTGCTTAAGAGAGATCCTCAAGTTGCTGACCTTGGTGTCTTAGTACCATGGGAAGTAGGTGCCTCCTCCTGTTCTTGGGTAAGTGGACAAAGAATCCCCCTCTCTCCTCATGCTCCAGGTGTCCTAGCTTGGTTTTCTCCCTCACATTTGACACTTTCTCCAGCAATAACTGCATGGGCCTGTCCTGTTCAAAACTCTCCTTTTCAGTCTCTCAAGTTGGGCTGCCCCAAAGCAGACCTGAGATACTCCCTTGTGTGTGTATGTAGTTAATTTAAGAGAGGATTCCAGGAGGTACAAGAGAGGAAGTGTGAAAAGCCCATGAAGGGCATGCTGATGACGGGTTACCACAGTGGGTAACCGGGGCTCAAGTCTAGGGGAGCTCAATGAGACCCACCATGAGACAGTGTATATCCCAAACATCTCTGACCTGTCTCTACAGGCTGTAGAACGATGATCTCTTGCAGGAGACACAGTAACTCATCTGTGTACATAGGACCCTCCTTGGGAGCAGATTAAGGGGTTTCTTGAATTATCTGCTACACCAGTCAACCACCAAGAGGGTCTCTGCTTGAAGCATCATAGCTCAGTAGGTGACAACCTGGACATGCCCATACTTCTAATCTGGGCTTTAGGGTCTTAGAAATAACACAAAATACCTGTAGGAGGTGCAGGATACAGTTTGTTTATTTATTTATTTATTTTTTGAGTTGGAGTCTCACTCTGTCACCCAGACTGGAGTGCAGTGGCCACTCCCGGCCACCACAACCTCGACCTGCTGGGCTCCTGAGATCCTTCCCCCTCAGCCTTCCAAGTAGCTGGAATTACAGGCATGCTACCACACCTGGCTGATTTTTTGATTTATTGTAGAGATGAGGTCTCGCTGCCCAGGCGGGTCTCGAACTCGCGGGCTCAGGCAACCCACTCACCTCAGCCTCCCAAAGGCGTGGAATTACAGGCTGAGCCACCAAGCCCGGCTGCAGGATACAGTTTAAAGATGGCAGCCTTGTTAGGAAATCCTACAGGCAAGTGATGTTCAATATTCTACGTCAGGGGTGAGGAAACTTTTCTGTAAAAGATCGTCATTCATATGTTCAGCTTTGAGGGCCATGCAGTCTCTGCCTTGGCTACTCAGCTCTTTTGTTGTGGCACAAAAACATCAACAGACCTCATGTAGGTGAATGGGTGTGGCTGTGTGCCAATAAAAATTTAGTTACACATAGAAACGTGAAATTCATATAGTTTTCACATGTCATGATTATTACTTTTGATTTTAACCATTTTAAAAGTGTAAAACCCACTCTTTTTTTTTTTTTTTGAGTTGGAGTCTCACTCTGTTGCCCAGGCTGGAGTACAGTGGCATGCTCATGGCTATCCCAGTGTTGACCTGCTGGGCTCTGGTGATCCTTCCACCTCAGCCTTCCAAGTAGCTGGAACTACAGGCATGTACTATCACACCTAGCTAATTTTTTATTTATTGTAGGGACGAGGTCTTGCCAAGTGCCCAGGCTGTTCTCGAACCTGTGGGCTCAGGCAATCCTCTCACCCCAGCCTCCCAAAGTGCTGGGATTACAGGCTTGAGCCACTGTGCCTGGCCTAAAACCCATTCTTCGCTAAAGGGCTATACAAAAATAGGCCCATGGTTTGCTGAGCTTTGCTCTATGGGGGAAAAAAAGCATTCCAGGGAAATTGCTGAGGCTTAAGTGGTTTTGACTTACAAAAATGGGCATGTCCTAGGATTTGACCTAATACTACCAATTCTTAAGCATAATGTTTTCTTTTCTTTTTTTTTTTTTTTTTTTGTTTTTTGAGTTGGAGTCTCACTCTGTCGCCCAGACTGGAGTGCAGTGGCCGCTCCTGGCCACCGCAGCCTCGCCTGCTGGCCTCTGGTGATCCTTCTGCCTCAGCTTTCCGAGTAGCTGGAATTACAAGCATGCGCTATCACGCCCGGTTGATTTTTTGATTTATTGTAAAGATGAGGTCTCGCTGCCCAGGCAGGTCTTGAACCCGCGGGCTCAGGTAATTCATTCACCTCAGCCTCCCAAAGGCGCGGGATTACAGGCTGAGCCACCGAGCCCGGGAGCATAATGTTTTCATCAGGACCCATGACCTTGAGTATAGTAAATACAATGGGGGCCACAGGAACAGGTGACTTTAGCCTGTCCAGGGGCCTTGATATGTCCTTTAATAACGCAAGGGAACCATGAACATGACACACAAATCCAAGTACCTAGATATCATTTGCCACATTTGTACCACGTAGGGGCTGATGTTGGCCATGAAAGCGGATGTGTTTGTACTTCAGCAAAGGATCCCAACACAGCCATCTTGCCATGAAAGGGACAATAGAAAAATTCCTTTGTGAGTGACTGGTCATCCCCAGCCTACCTGCTTGGGGGAGAGATGTTAGATAACCCAGGAAGAAATAGGAGGGAAGCTTCTGCATGCTTGAGTTCACCCCAGCATCAACATGAAGCTTCTAACAGCATGGCGGCAGGAAGAGACCATCTAGGAAACATCCTTACCCACTCCACTGTGCCATAGCACATGGGCACCCAGGGTTCTCATGATCTGTGCAACTCAGATCTCCTCTTGCCTTAGTGGAAACCCTGGTTCCTGAGGGCTAACTATGCTCTACAGTACCATAGTCACCAACCAGATGGGGCAACTGATCACTCGGAGTGTGGCCAGTCAGAAGGGAGATGTGCCTTATCTGCAAAATCCATACTGGATTCCAAAGATCTAGCACACACATGGAAACGTGGAAAGGATTTATTCACAATTTGTTTTATGCTGATTCCAGTTGGAATTGATGACATCTTGGCTATTGGGGGTGAAAGGAAGTACATGATTGAAATTAATTTCACCACCTTCTCTCTGCTTTTTAAAAATGTGGCTGCTAGAAAATTTAGAAGGATCCATGTCACTTGCAAGATGTTTTTATTGGACAGTGTGAGGTCTGAGGTCTGGACTGATTGGCTGTTGGATACAGAAAGGAAAGTGTACACTTGGTCCTTTGGTGACAGACTTAGAGGAAAAGCTGGGTTTTCAGAAACTGGGACACACGGCTGCAAGCATCTGTTCCTCTTATGCCTCATAAGTAAGTGTATAATGCCCAGTCCCATGACCCTCGCATTTATAGCCTGTCTGGAGGAATCTACAGTGAAGCTCACACATGTGACTGGGCAAGAAGTTGGGGTTAGTTGCCTCTAATCACTCAGCCTTCAGCCAAGCAGGGCCCAGGGGTTCCCCGTCTGAACTACCCTCTCTTCTCTCTGTTCCAGTTCTCGCTGTCTTGCTTGCTCTGTCCGGATCAGAAGCTAAGAGTTTTAAAGGTGAGTCTACTCATGGTCAAAAGCCAGGGGAGAAGAAAGTGGGATCTGGAATTCACCTTCTGAGAAGAGAAGGAGCCCTTTTCTTTTTTTTTTAAGCAATATTTTTTATTATGATGTTGTGGGGTACAGTTAAGGGTTAGGTATACAAATACGTTTCGTTCAGGCACCCTGTTGATAAGAGGTGTTTCCCCGTTGCCAGACAGATATTTGCCACCATTAATCCCATCTCCCTCCTCCCTCCATAGTTTCCCACTACTGTCAGTCATTTTCTTATAGTATTACATTGGATGTTC